TGTGGAGATAGCATATTAAGCTTTAACAGCTTTTTAAAATTTAAGAAATTTATCATAAACTTTCCTTTTGCTAAAGAAAATCACTCCCCTATAAATGAGACAAGTTAGTACCAAATAGTAATACAAGAAAGAGTGGGAGAAAGTGCAAGATTTCAAGGTTAAAGCTCATTAATCCTGGAGGTGGTAAGGCTGAGGAGAAGCAGTGCTGGGATTTAGGTCAAGGTGAGCAAGACCTCACTGTTCATTCTTTCAGTCATTACACAAATATTAAGTGCCTATTTTATGTTGGGCAGTGCACTTAGTACTATGAAGAAGAGGGAGAATAGAGTGTAATACCTGATAATAGAGTGTGCATAATATTGTGGGAGAAGAGAAGAAGGAGCAGATAATGTTGTCTACGTCATTCAGAAAAGCTTCATAAAAGGGTGTTAGTTGAATTAAGTCTTGAACCCTGATTATGAGTTTACTAGGTGGCTACATTAAGTAGTGTTGTGATAGAATGGAGACTTAAGAGCAGGGGTAATTGACTTAATAAGGATAAAATGTAGAGTGGATATTGAGAAGTATGTCATCTTATAGATTCTTACATGTGTTGATAATAGATTATTAAACTGCATAAAACAAAATACACACACACACACAAACAATAAAACTAGGTTATATGCAGAGATTTGAGGTAGGGACTGAGGATATTTATTAATAGTGGATAACTTAAAATATATCATTTTCATGTTCCAGCAAAGAGTTATTTCCTGACTTAATTATTCTGACATTCTATGGAATATATATTATATATATATATATATATATATATATATATATATATATTTTTTTTTTAATTTGGACATTGCTGAATGTATAGACAATGGTTCTCAAAATGTGGTCCCCAGATTAGCCAGTATCAGCATCACCTGGGAACTTGTTGGCAATGCACATTTTCAGGCTGTACTCTTAAACTACTAAATCCCATGCTTTGGGGATAGAATCCAACAATTTGTATTTTAACAAGCTCTTCAGATGATCCCAGTGAATCTACAGTTTGAGAACCACCATAGTAGAGTATGATAAATGGCAGACTGAATATTGGTTACATATTTTTTGTGTCAAAGTCAACATTCTCATGTGAAAAGCAAGAGAATTCACTTACATTGGACATTGTCTGTACAACTGATTGGCTCATTGATTCAAAACTTCTCACTGTATTTAGAATTTTCTAGAAGGAAAATCCCTAAAGATTCATAGTTCTAATAATGTCAGAATTTTCTTCATTTAGCATTTAATCAATAGGTGTGTAAGCATGAGCAAGTCATCTTTAGAATAGAAATAATAACACTTCCTTTGCAAGTTACCTTTGAAATTATTAATAACAGATATAAAGCACCTGGGACATACTAGAAACTCTAGACAGGGTTGTTGTTGCTATTATCATTATTAAATTATAATTATAATAATTATTACTATTACGCATGATAATTACTCACCAGTTAGCCTTGTAAGTATGCAGATGATTAAGTGGTGTGATTTGAATTTTAAAACAGGGTAAGCTCTTTGCTTCAAAATATTAATCCTAGCACCTGTCATTGCATCACTGTGGCTAATATATTCTTTTCAATAAATATTTTTTGAATAACTGAGTGAAAAAATAAATTTATTAAAATATTATTAGCAATGAGAGTAATGGAGAGATGTTACAGTTTTAGCCTGTATTCACTCACATGTCAGTATTTTGTTAAGAATTTATCTAAGACTGATAGAAATGGGGTAAATGATGCATTCCCTTTGAAGGGTGGGAAAAGGTAATGAAAGCAAGAATACTTGCTAGTGGAAAGAACCTGAAAGAGGGAAAGTATCTCTGAATGATGATGGGGATGTTCTCAAATGCATATTGTGCATATTTCATGCTTTTTCTTGAGCTTAAAGTTGGTAATAGGACCAAACAGCACAAAATCTGATCTAAAAATTCATTTTGTAATATTACTTACTATTCCACTTGACTGATGTTTTTACTAAATGGACTTCTTTCTTGACTCAATTAGCTGTTATCTTTGCGTACCTTCAGTATTTCTCCAATCACCCAGTTCCAGATAAATCTAAACTGTCTTAGCCTAATGAATATTTATTCTTCTTTTTTTTTTAATCTCCTGGGAAAAAAAATAAAAAGTATTCCTTGGTAATGTTTTTAGTTTCATATCTACTGCTCTTTCTTAGATAGCTATGTTCAGTTTATTGGTCACAGACTATTTATACAGGTTATTATATGTGGCTATATAGTCAGTCAATTTTTCTAGTAGTCATGCTTTGCAAAATTCATTGCTTTATGGTAGACAATGAGAATATAGAATATATTTTAAAGATACCAAAATGTATTCATAAAACATGGTTTTCAATTTGGTGTACTTATTTAAATCACATTAAAAAATTTGCATTCTAAATTTCTGTAGTCAAAAAGGCTTCTAAAATATTCTAAGATTTTCTTTGTTGATTTGCTTGTTATAAATATTTTTGGCCTGGCCAGTGTGGCTCAGTGGATTGAGCATTGCACCATGGTCTGAGAGGTCCTGGTTCAATTCCCCATCAGGCTGCATGCTCAAGTTGCTGGCTGGATCCCCAGTAGGAGGCATACATGAGGGAGCAAACCAATGTTTCTCTCTCACATCCATATTTCTCTCTCTCTCTAAAAAAATCAATAAAAGTATATTTTTTAAAATTTATATTTTTGGAGATTGGTTTATTTGAAAATCAGATTTGTAGTTCCTACATATAGGTAGCTTTTTATGAAATTAAAAAAAGATTTATAGTTAGTTCTCATATTAAAGAAGGAATTTCTAGCCCTGGCCGGTTTGGCTCAGCGGTTGGAGTGTCGGCCTGCGGTACAGAGAGACCTGGGTTCGGTTCCCGCTAAGGGCACGTACTTCGGTTGCAGTTTGTCCCCAGCCCTGGTAGGTCGTGCGGGTGGCAGCCACTCGATGAGTCCCTTCACATCGATGTTTCTCTCTCTCTCTTCCTCTCTCTCCCTCCCACTCTATCTGAACAAAAAATGGAAAAATGTCCTCAGGTGAGGATAAAAAAAAAAAAAAAAGAAGGAATTTCTAGAATGAAGATTGATGGGTACTAGGGAGCGAAGGTTTCTGTTTTTGTAAACAATGTGCCTGTGTGCTCAGCAGATAGATTTTAAAGTGTGGTCAGAGCCATGATTGAGGTGCATGAAAGTCCCTGGTGGAAATTTCTCCATCTCCTCTGGCAAAAATTGTCCCCTGCATGAGACTACATCTGTAAAGAGGGTGCCTTTTACTCACCCTTCCTGTGTATTGGATGATCAGTTCTACATATTCATGGTAACTGAACTACTGTTTATTATTATTCTCTACATTAATTAGTTAAATGTTAGATACTTGTAAAAAGGGAGGATTCTGTAAAGCAAGAAACTATAAAGCTTAAAGAGTGATTCTTAGGTAGAGGAAGAGGATCTCTGACAATGGATCTGAACAATATGTGATGCGAATATATGGATTAACTTGAACTTTCCAAAGAGTTACTTTATGAGATTTTATACTTTATTAAAAAGAATTTGTTCAAAAGCATATTTAAAATCCTGTTCTAGAATTACATTCACATCCAATTATGAACTGCATGAACATCTCTCATGATATTTTATACTTATACTAGATTACTCAGGTTGTACATCTACCTTGATCAAGGTTATAAATATTTTTGGATATTAAAAGAAGTTAATCTATCCATAAAGGAAAAAAATATAAAGTCTGTGAAAAATGCTGGAAATCTAGCACTATAGTCTTGAGGAAATTCCAAAAAAATTCCAAAATTATTTCTAAGAGTCCTTGCTCTCCAAGTAACTATTTTGACAAAGACTGGGTAAGGGTAGTATATTAACATTTAGTCAGTTCTTCTTAGAGGCAGTCTACCATTGTGTTTAATGAACATGATAGCCAGATTGGCTTGAATGATGGTCTTTAATTTATTAGGTATGTAACCTTAGAATTTCTCAATTTTTGAGTACCTTTGTATTCTCATCCACAAACTAGGTATGATTTTGGTAAATAACTCTTGTACCTGTAAGATTTTATGACTTATTTTTTGAAAAACATTAAAACAATACCTGGTACAAAGTAAGACATTAGTAAATGTTTAAATTATTAATATTATGAAAAGTTTATACAGATTATATACATTTGCATAAAATCTCAGTTTTACTGAGGTAAGTATTGTTATCCCCATTTTGCAGATGATTCTGCACCCTGCTTACTCTTAGAAAGATTAATTAACTGGTACAAAGTTCAGAGAAAGAGTAAACTGTTGGGCCAGGAATAGAACTTAGCTACAAATGATCAAATTTCTCCTACTCCCTGTATCAATTCTGTGAAATAACCAGGACACATTTTGGTGCCTTTTAATTGCTCTTGTCTACTGGAACCAACCAGTTGATGAACAGAGGGTCTAGCTGGTTCTAAATGAATCAGATCTAGAAATCTGATTCTAATAAAATTCGCCAAGAATCTATCTATAATTTTGCTACTTTCATTAGTTTTGTTCACTACATATTTATGTCTTTCTACCTTTGGTTGCATAGTGGGATTGTATTTCCCTGTCTAATTTGAATATACACATGGCTCTGTGACTTGTTTTGGCTAATGCGATAGAGATGGAAGTGACTTGGTCCACCTCCAGTAGGATGTTTTAGGAGTCAGTGAGTGATTCACCATGTCCTTTTACTTCTGTTTAAATGATTGCAAAAGTACATTGTCAAGATGGAGTTTTCATCACTGGACCAGGAATTGACTTGTAACATGATTAAGAAATAGTCTATGTTGTGTTAAGCCACTGAGATATTAAGGTTCTTTTGCTGTAGTATAACCTCACTTGTGCTGACTGATGCAACTATAGACCAAATCTGGAACACTGAATAGACAGTAAGGGATTTTAAAGTTTACTATAAAAAGTGGGAGATGCTAAATCATGGTTACACAGAGCTGAATACACACCTTTTGTGCTCTTCTTTTGTCTGCTCGTTGATTTTGGTGGTAGATCCGACTGAAGTTGGATACAATCACTGGAACAGGTAGAGCAATGACCAAGACACCACTCAGCGAACAAATGGATCCAAAAATCTTCCCTGCTATGGTTTTTGGTACCATGTCACCATACCTGCATTAGAGAGAGAGAAAAGAAAAAGTCACAGAAAATTATTTCATCTGCTACAAATAGCTTTTTGCTTTAAGCCAAATGATATTTTAGAACAATCTATCTCTGGCTCATGACTATTCTATACATGACTTAAGACTTTAATAAACCAGAAATTACTAAATTCAAATTGCGCAGGGAAATACAATCCCACTAATATATAAATATGAAAAATTATCTTTTAATATTGTAGAAATTAATTCTAAAGTTTAGAAATCTCTCTCTCTCTCTTGATTTTTTAATCCTCATACAAGGATATATTTTCATTGATTTTTTTCAGATAGAGTGGAGGAAGGGAGAGAGGGAAGGAGCGAGAGAGAAACATTGATGTGAGAGAGACACATCAGTTGGTTGCCTCCCACACAACCCCAACCAGGCCAGAGGTTTGTACCTGCAACAGAGGTATGTGCCCTTGACTGGGACTTGAACCCACAACTTTTTGCTCTGAGGGCTGATGGTCTAACTGCTGAGACAAACCTGCCAGGGTTAGGTAGTTCTTTGATTGAAAAATATTTTAAGCCAGATGATTTAATGATAGCTTTTTAATGTGTCCTTTTCTATAATATGATATAGTTCTTTACATGTATTTTATCATGAATATTTCTATGCTAAATTTTATAGTCTAGATAACACACTTTTCCACTTTTTTTTTTTTTTTTTTTTTCCAGCTTTGGATGGGTTATAAAATTTAAGTACAAAAAGTGGTACATCATATTCCTTTATTCAGGTATAATCACTTAAAAATCCACTTTTTAAGGTCCCATTAACCTTCACTTGTGAAATCCAATGATCATTTTTACATGATAATCTTACTTAATATCTCATTTTATTTGATTAGTTGACTTCTCTCTCCTTGAAACATGTTTTGTTGGCTTCAATATCAGAATATTCCCTTAGTGGTGCTATTACCTCATTGGCTGTTTCTCTGTCATTTTTTTGGCTCCTTTTCCCTTAACTGATTTCTAAATCTTGGGTTAATTTATGTCTCAAACTCAAGTCCTCTTATTTTCTTCATATAAACCCTTCCCTATATGATTTTATTCAATCTCATGGCTTAAAACTACTATGTATATGCTTATGATATCCTAATTTACATTAACAAGATGTCTATCTTGAAAATCAGACTCATATTTTCATTGGTCTGGTCTGAAAATTCCTACCTCTGGATGTTAAAGAGACAATTAAGACTTAAATTAGTCAAAAAGGAACTTCCATTTTCCCAGATTACTCTGCTTCTCGCACACAGTTTATCACCACCTCTAATTAAGTGGAACCATAAACCATCCAATTACCTATATCAAAATTGAAACAGCCACCCAATCCTCAGTCCTCTCATCTCATTTCTTGGCTAGTCTTATTATCTCTGACTAAAACAAATTGTCATCTATTTGGTTCTTTTTCCTTAACCTCCACCCCACCCCACCCCGCCCCGGTATTCCAAGCCATCATCTCTTGCCAGAGCCATGAATATAGCTTCTTACCTGGAATTTCTTTTCCACATGTACCACTTTACTATTCATGCCAACATAGCAGCCAGAGTCAATGGTTTTAAAAATGGAGATTGGACTGTTGCTACTTTGCTTCACCTAACAGATTTAAAGCAAAATAAATCCAAACTCCTCACTCTTTTCTCTGAGGGCTTATATCATTTACTTGCTGCCCATATTTCATACCACCCTCCACCGAGCTCACTGCCCTCCAGCACACTGGCCGTCTGGCTTTCTGTCACATGTGCAGTCCCCAGATCATCATAGCTCAGGTTCAGCCTTAAAGGTCTCCATTTGAGAAGTTAGTTTCTGGCCACCTTATCCATAGCAATCTTATTCTCTCCCATCATTTTCCCATTTGATTACCTTCACATACTTATCACATAATATTTTCTAATGTTTTAATGTATTTGTTTTGTTTTTGACTCCCCACCTGCCCTACCAAAATTAGAATACAACCAGGAGCTGTTCTTTTTTTGTATCTCACTAACTCAAAGCAGCTTCTTAATAAATATTAGCTGAATAAATACATTTTCCCTGCCTTACTGATACAGAGTTCTAAGAGTTAATTCCTCAGGGTGGGGGCAAGAAGTTCTTTTGCTTATATTATTGGAGAAATTACCCAGCTTCAGCAATACAGCTCCAACTACTCCTGCTTACTCTGGGGCTCTGGGGTTCTCAGCTCTCTGAGAGTTATGTCCTTAGAAACAGGGCTCAGAGGAGCTCAGATATTAGACTCTGGACTCTTTAAGAGTATTTTGGGGGAGATAATCTATCTTTAAGGATGATCTAGGAAATCATTGTTTTTGTGGGAACATGTTTGTGTGTCAACATGGAGAAGGAAGTTGTTGAGGAATTGGCCCAGGAAAGGCTGGTAAGAGTCAAGGCAGGCTCTGCTGTCGTTGGTGACCTCGTGCCGTGCTCTGGTCCTCTGTTGAAAGCCATTCTTCTCAGCATTTATATTAATGAGGAAATAGTCAAAACTAAAGAAATTTACAAGGTGAGACTAAAAGGCTTGAAAACGTTCTTACTATATAGCAATGTCAGTAGAATTAGAAAATAATTAAAAAATATATATATATATATAATGTGTGCGTAGAGCCTATTTCCATGTTTGTCACAGTTCACATTGAGTGCCCAGCCCTATATTATAAACATTTTTCCTTTTGCAATGATTATGCAGTAGGCCCTGGAGAAATTAAAATACACATATACCCTTGTACGTGCAACATATGAGCAGCTTTTCAAAAGCTTTCTTTCCTTTATTTTAATGTCTACCAATTAGGACCCAGAATGTGTCTCTCAAAAGGTAAAGTAAATAAGACCACTATTTGTTATGGCCCCAAAAAGACAAGCATTCAGTCCATGAAATTAAAATAAGCCTTTTAAAATACAAATACATAAAATAAAATAGCTAAATGAATCTATCATCTAAAGCATTTTCAGCCTTTCTCTAATAATTAGCACTATTAACTACTTTTTTTGTATTCCAGGCTCACTATGTCATAGAGTGGACCAGGCCAACATACTTGTAATCATTAAAATTAAGAGCTTAACTGTATGGTATGGACCTAAAGCTCAGTTAGACTTTAAGCAGACAGAAGACTGGTAAGTTCAGGAAGCAGATGGCAGAGGGAATAGGGAGGGGAGATTCATGCCCTCAGAATGGCTGCAGCTAACCAAAGGGAGAAAATCGATTTTGAGGAACTTGGTCAAAGGGACTCTGAATCAACTGATGAAGGGAGTTTCTCTGTGAAAGCAATTTTTGATGAGGTGCCTGGGATTCAACTAGAGAAAGAAAATCACAGCAGATCCCTTTTTAATGTAAACAGAGATTATCATACAAATAAATAAAGTAGAAAGTGCCCTTGATATTCTGAGAGGGAAAAAATGGGTATAATGAAATATCTTGTTTGTTTTGAGATGACATGGCAGAAAGTAAGGATATGAACCAACTTGCTGAAAGGCAGCACTTACACAGCCTAGAAGGATCTGTAAGGGAAAAGAGGTAACAATATAGGGTGGTCTGACGTCATAAAGCTGTGCTAATCTGCATCAGATGCAGTTATAGTTATTATTTGCCTCTACCATATTTGTTTTGTAATCCAAAATTCCTTCACAATAAAAAATGCCAAGAGGAATGCTGGAGATGCCTGTTCAATACCTCAGTGATGATGGTAGGAAGTGGAGGGGAGAAGAAATTCCTTGTTGGTTAGAATATCCTCTCTTATCTTTTTGCTTAGAGTGGAAAACCAGAACTTTCTCACGTTAAAGAAAATTAGGATGGTCTCTTAAGACTCTGCTGTTGTGAAGCTAAGGCAAGAGAGATGGTTGAGAGGGCACAAGGGAGGGGAAAGGGCAGAGTATTTAAGGCCATCGGGGCTGTCCTGTGATTATTTATTATGACAGCGTGAGCCCAGGCGAGTCTCAAGGAGCACCTGCTGCCTCTTTCTCCATGTTCCCTGCTTCTGTAACATCACCCTTTGAGTTTTTCTCCATGCTGTCCTCCCCCTTTTGCGATTGGGCTGCTGTTGATACTTGTAATATTTTAGGCATATTTTTCTAGTTTGAATATGTTGGAGAATCACGAGAAGAACAGGGTGAGATTTGCATCTGTTCTTACAGCATCCATTTTGTCTCTCTTCTTTAGGAATGACTCTGAGAAATGAAAGCAGGTGATTTTTATCCAAGGAGATGTGACTGGGCACAGAATCTCCTTGGGACAGAAATAGCTGTCTCTCTGGCAAAACAGTTGCTTTCTTTTGTATAACAAAGGCCATGTAACTAGTATTCAAACTCTTAGTAAGAAGCAAATAGCATTGTACACCTCAGGTATCCTGTCTCTGAAACTCAGTGGAGGAAAGACTTAGAAGAGAAAGCTTTATAATGAGAAGTAACACTTATTTTGACTAAATATTCATTTAATAAAACATTGCTTAAAATACTGTCATTTTTTAACGATTATTTCTATCCCAGGCAACTTGTGTACTGGTTGGTATTTTATTATTTATGTTACATATAAAAACACACTGCATTTTTTCTGAATCCTTACTCTTAAATTTATGGTAAGCCCAGAAATACTATATATTCTGTTCTTTCTGTTCTCCCACCTGATTTTAATATCATGTCTCCAGTTTTCAAAAATCCATTTCCCAAGGAGTTACATTAAAACATTATCTAGATGTGGTTTGTTTTTATAGAAACATTTAAAACTATTTATATAAATTTTATTAAAAGACTATAGGATCCTATGAGGTCAAATAAGATAAATATTGAATTTTTAAAAGATAGAAGAAAACGGGAGAGAGGAAAGCATAATATAAAAGAATAACGTGATGTGTCTCTCTCACATTGATGTTTCTCTCTTTCTCTCCCTCCCACTCTGTCTGCAAATAAATAAAAAAATATCCTCTGGTGAGGATTTAAAAATAAATAAATAAATAGGCTTGAACTTTGTTTATTGAAGGAAAGCTTTCT